AGAATCCCCTCCCTCGCCCTGCTGGCCACGCTGCTCTTGATGCAGCCCAGGACACGCTGTAACCCCATCATAGAAGGATACCAAGCTGGTCAGGCACGATTTTCCCTTGGTGAAGCCATGTTGGCTGTCCCCAGTCACCTCCTCGTTATCCATGTGCCTGAGCATGGTTTCCAGGAGGTTCTTCTCCGTCATCCTGCCAGGCACAGAGGTGAGACTGACTGGCCTGTGGTTCCTCGGGTCTTCCTTTTTTCCCTTTTTAAAAATGGGGGTGATGTTGCCCCTTCTCCAGTCAGTGAGGACCTCCCCAGACCTCCACGACCTCTCAAATATGATGGAGAGTGGTTTGGCAACTTTGTCTGCCGGTTCTCTCAGGACCCGCAGATGCATCTCATCAGGCCCCATGGACTTGTGCACCTTCAGGTTCCTCGGCAGTCTCGAACCTGGTCTTCTCCTACAGTGGGCGGTTCTTCATTCTCCCAGTCCCTGCCTTTGCCTTCTGCAACTTGGACTGTGTGTCTAGAGCACTTGCTGTTGAAGACTGAGGCAGAAAAGTCGTTAAGCACCTCAGCTTTCTCCACGCCCCGGGTAACCAGGTCTCCAGCTGCCTTCGGGAGAGGGCCTGCATTTTCCCTAGTCTGCCTTCTATCACTGACATACCTACAGAGGGCTTTCTTGTTCCCTTTGACATCACTGGCCAGATTCAATTCTGTCAGGGCTTTAGCTTTCCTAACTTGCTCCCTGGCTACTCGGGTGATTTCTCTGTATTCCTCCCAAGCTGCCTTTGCTTGTTTGCCTCCTCTGTAGGCCTCCTTTTTCTGCTTGAGTTTGGCCAGGAGCTCCTTGTTCATCCATGTAGGCCTCCTGGCATTTCTGCCTGACTTCCACTTGGTCGGGGTGCATCGCTCCTGAGATTGGAGGAGGTGATCCTTGAATACTGACCAGTTTTCCTGGGCCCCTCTTCCCTCCAGGGCTTTATCCCATGGTATTCTACCAAGCAGATCCCTGAGGAGTCCAAAGTCTGCTCTCCTGAAGACCAGGGTAGCGAGCTTGCTGCGCACCCTCCTCGCTGCGCTAGGGATCTTAAACTCCATTTTGTGGTCACTGCAGCCAAGGATGCCCTTGACTTTCACATTCTCCACCATCCGCTTCCTTGTTGGTGAGAACAAGGTCCAGCATCGAACCTCTCCTTGTGGGCTGCTCTGTCACTTGGAGGGGGAAGTTGTCATCAAAGCATTCCAGGAACCTACTGGATTGCTTGTGCCCTGCCGTGTTGTCCCTCCAACAGATGTCGGGGTGGTTCAAGTCCCCCATGAGGACCAGGGCTTTTGAACATGAGGATTCTCTTTTCTGGCTATAGAGGCCCTCATCCGCTCACTCGTCCTGGTCAGGTGGCCTGTAGCAGACTCCTACTGTAATTTGCCCTTCCCTGCCCTGCCTTTGATCTTGACCCAGAAGCTCTCCATGGACTCCTCATCCAATCCCAGGCAGATATACAACAGTTTTCAAGCCTGCTTACCATGTAAATTCCACAAGTCCGTTTCCAACTTAAATGAATCCTTTGTTTTGCAGCTGGCTGTCTGATAGCGGGTTCTGCAAAGTGGTTGATGACACGTCAGACTACGTGGAATGCTCTTGTTCTCATATGTCCATTTATGCAGTTTATGCCCAAACAGATAACTTGTCTTCATATAACGAGGCTTTCTTCTCTGCTGGATTCATCTGTATTTCAGGTCAGTAAGACAGTTTTCTCACGAATAACAACGGACAACCAGTAAGACTGACTGATTTTCAGCGATTTTAGTAACAGATTCCGATCTTTATATTTGGAGGGGTATTGGAGGAATGTTAACTTCTTGGTATTAAAGTTGCCATTTGGTCCAGTGTTTGCACACGGACAAATTTTGACATGGAAAAAAAAGTCAGGCAAAGAAATATGTTACCTTGTGAAGTTTTATTGAACCATACAAAAGTGATATATGTCATTCATTTGGGGAAAGAAACTTAAAAATCCTAAATTCACCTGCGCCTCTAGCAGCAGTACAGCTATCCTCTTTGTCAGATCTTTCAGACGCTTTTCTACCTAGCCTGAAAGCTCTTTGATTATTTTAGTTAAGAATTTGTGCTCATAAGTGATATTCTGAAGGAGACAGATTCCATATCATGTGTGTAGACCTCCATTATACTCTGCTGCCTAACTGCTGCCCAACTTCTTGGGAGAAGCCCAGGAGTTAGACCTGTGAGGATGATGACTCGCTGCATTGACAGCTGTGATGGCATTTGCAGAAGTCCCAAAGCATCAGACAGAAAGTAGGAGATACAAGTTTTAAATGCTGCTTGGCTTCACATTGCAGTCAGTTCACTATTATGTGCAGGCAGTCCTGGAGGAAAGTAAGTTTTTCTTCTTGTGTTCATAGGCAGTGTGCAAGCAGGAACCCAAGAATAACAGGGTCGCTAAGAAAAGCATGCTAACAGGGTTCTTAATCTAATCTCAGGGCACTTACATGGGGTGCTGGGTGTGCTCCTTGTGAAGTATATGACTTCTGTACTACATCATCACTGTATCAGGCACAAAAACAAGGCTCCTTAATTGTTTTAAAACCTCACCCACAAAAAAGAAGACAAAGAAAGAGAAGAAAACCCTCTGGCTTTCACCTACTTTATACAAATTGTTTTATTTAACAATAGTTAAAGATTTTTTAGCAGAGAAAAATAAGCAGATTTTAAAATACAGTTAATCTAAATTAGTTTGTGTTAGTGGAAGTAGCAAAAAAGGCAACTACAATAAACAAATTAAATACTGGTTTGCAGAAAAAAAAAGAAAATTGGTGAAACAAATATGCCATAGAATGCAAAATGCTGAAGAAACCAAACAGAAAAAAACCACAAAGTAAGCCAATATGCTGTAGAAACTGGAGCTAAGAGAAATATTTTGCTGAATTGGAAGCAATAAAGACCTACAGATCCTTGTTCAGTGCTAGTTGTTTACTGTAGTCATGTGTCATAAGACTGTGTTTTAAAAATTGGAACATTTTAGCCTGGGTAAGTGTTTGCCTCGAATATAACTGCAATGCCTTTCAGTTTCTTTGGCTGGTTGAAGGTGTTGCTTATGTGGTTATATGTATTTAAAACTGATAGTTAACAAATTGCTTAGGATTTAAGAGCTGTAAGGATATTATTTATTTCTCTAACATGACCGCCTAGGTGTAAAGAAAAAAAAAAAAAAAAAAAAAGCGCACAGTAGAGTGAAATAGAATATTATTATTTCTAAAGGTTTCTTATGCAGATAGTTGTATAAATATCACTAGCTAATTTCTGAAAAATTGACCAATAATTCTTTCTGCAATGATTCATTTTATTCATATCTCACAAATACTAGTAATTGAGCAGTCAGTCTGTTTCAACAAAGAATAAAAGATCTGCCTAAAGTGTCCAAATTCCTGCCCTTCCTGGGGTGTGGAAGTACATAAACAATTAACTCTTCATGAGCTTTAGCAGTGTTTCCCTTAGGGGCTCAGCTTTCCCAGGGTCCTTCTTCCAAGATCTACTTACTGGTAGGCTGGGGGCTCTTCCCATTTCTGTTCTGTTCATGTTCACAACGAACAGAGAAGTGAAAAGTGGTGTTGTTCTTTCTGAGTACTCCTACAGTAGATTTCTATGCTGAGCACAGATGAAATGGGAGACTGGCATTTAGAAGGTTATAGTTATCTCCTAAAGAAACGCTACCCAGCTAGAGGCAATGTTTTATTTCTTTGTTTCTGAAAACATTTTTTGGGTGCAGTAATATCAACACTGAAGAGTTACCTTTGCTTTATATTTAACTATTATGACAATCATCCATATAATGCAGAAATTAAAAAAAACACCTTTGCAAAAATTACTGGTTTACATTATGCAATTATTTTAGCTCACAAACCTATGAAAAAATTAATTAGATGTTAGAACTTCAGTAGTAAATTCATGAGGGATCCCAGTGTGAACCAGTGAACATATTCTCTCTGTAAGGTTTGAGGGTTTTTTTGTTTTGTTTTTCAATGATCTGCAGCTTCAAGAGATCCAGCATTGTTGTTCCTATCCAGCATAGTTTATTAGGCTAAGCTTTAAATTTCCTTTCTTTTTTTTCTTGTTTGTTTCTGTGTAGGTTTCACTTTGGCTATTGTCTCCCACCTTTTCTGCACCAGGTGTGCAATGTTTGCAGCTAAACTTCTCACTCACATGATGGTTGCTTGTTTGGGTACTCAGGTAAGAAAAAAAGCTGGAGTCTCTAAGTGTAAATTAAGTACATCTTTACTTTTTTTCCTCACTTCCATGGCCGTGTCTGAGCAGGCCTTCTTTCTGCAGTGTAAACATTTTTTGGAAAAAGTAAAATTTCAACATATACTTATGATTAGTCCAATATTCATATCCTATGTTTGGAACTGAATTAAGATATACATTCTCTGAGAATATTTAGAGAAAATTTATGGATGATACAGCCACATGAGAAGATAGTCCTGTATGTGGAATAATAAATGTTTTGATGATGGGGTATATACATGAGACTAAAGAGTTCCAATATTAATATCATTATTTATTAAATAGATTAATGTTGGTCATCGTAAATTCTTTTTTTGGGGGGTATTGTTATTATTTTGAGTAGTACATGATGGAAGCTGTTTTGCAGTCTAGTATTTGTAGGAAGGCGTAGCTATGAAAAATTTAAATAATAAAAGACAATAAACTGTAGAAAGCCTTCCTAGTTCTCTCATACTGGTTCAAATAGTAGGTAATAGAATGTCAGCAAACCGAAGGAGCATATGAAAGAAGAATATGTCTCTGTTCTGTGAAACATAATTTCCTCAGCTTTGGTGCATCTGGTGAAATGGGAAGCTATAAATAAACTCAAATATCTTAAAATTACTTTATGGAAATATTACTTAAGAAGAAGATTTTTTGTGTATTTTTAATGCTATAAAGATGATGTAAATACAAATTTAAATATACACTGAAGGCAGGGACGCTGAGAGAATTTAAGCATATTAGGAGGCAGGTGCTTAGAGGGATGTGCCATGTCAGGGAAATGTTCTGTAGATAGCTGAAACAGCCCTATGTCACCTGTAAAAGTTAAGCAACTGGCATATGTCTCAGACAAGCTTTTCTATACTGACATGGTTGGTATATCATTGTATTTAAGTTACCTCATGATTTGTACAATGGAGTGCATTGATAATGTTCATCACACAACTGGACTTAGAAGGAGCAGGAAGGGTCCTTTACAGCACTTTTAGAGATCACTGGTTACCAGCAGTTTTCTTGTATCTTAGGGTGTAAAAATATTTTGACATCTCAGTTCTTGATTTTTGGAACACATAGTTAATGTTTTTTAATAGTTCTGTGCAGTTACCTGGAAAGCTAGTTTGTTCCAGGGATGTGTAACGTGCATCGCTACTGGTGCACAGATGTGCAGACTTAATTTGGGACACGTAGCTCATAACACAGGTAAGGACATGCATATCGTAATTTGTCCAGATTATACAAAACAAGACTGCTGAGAGTGTTGCAGTGCATTTTACACTCTAATGATAGATTTTGCAAAAGCTTCTTCTACTTTTCCTTTGCAGTCATTGTTGAGTTGCCTGTGCTCCCAGAATTTTTTGATATTTTACATATAATGGAACGATCCTTATCCATGTTGCATTCTTTCTGTCTCCAATATTTTTCCATTTCTTTGGCAATATATTGCATTTCCAGTACAGAGAAGTTTGTATCCTTGTACAGTGAGTTTCTATTTTACAGAAATCTTTTGGCTTTTTTCTATAAGCACTGCTTAGCAGGTCTTTCAGACCCATTAAAACATCTTAATTGACACACAGAAACACAGAGAATGACAGCAAGGGACCTCTGGAGGTCATCTTGTCCAGCCTCTCTACTCAAGCAGGGACACCTAGAGCTGGTTGTCCAGACAGTTTTTGAGTATTCCCAAACATGGAGACTCCACACTCTGCCTGGGCAACCTATTCCCGTGCTTAGTCACCCTCGCAGTACAAAAATGTTTCCTGGTTTTCAGAGCGAATCTCCTCTGCTTCAGTTTGTGCCAGTTGCCCCTGGTCCTATCACTGGGTACCACTGAACAGAGCCTAGCTCTGTCCTCTATGTGTCCTCGCTGCAGGTATTTATATATTTTGATGAAAACCCCCCTGAGCCTTCTCCTGCCTGAACAGTCCCAGCTCTCTCAGCTTTTCCTCGTAGGAGAGATTCTCCATCCCTAACTTACCTTGGTGGCCCTTTGCTGGACTCTGTCCAGTATGTCCATGACTCTCTTGTACTGGGCAGCCCAGAACTGGACTCAACTCTCCAGGTGTGGGCTCACCAGTGCTTAGCAGAGGAGAAGGATGTCCTCTTTGACCTGCTGGCAAGGCTTTGCCTAATGCACCCCAGGCTACTTATCAGCCTTCCTTGCAGCGAGGGCACATTGCTGGTTCATGTGCACCGTGGTGTCCACAAGCATGCCCAGGGCCTTTTTGGCCAAGCTGTTTTCCAGCTGGGTGGATTCCAGTGTGTATTGGTGCATTTGTTCAAGAAAAGTTAGTTTAGCTATTTTGACACATTATATAGTTAAAATCGTAGAATCATAGAATCATTTGGGTTGGAAAAGACCCTTAAGGTCATTGAGTACAACCGTTCACCTAACACTGCCAAATCCACCACTAAACTATGTGACTAAGCACCACATCTACAGGTCTTTTAATTACCTCCAGGGATGGTGACTCAGCATTTCTCACAAGTCTGTTGCATATGTTTAGACCTATTGAGTAATTTTGGTAGGAAGCCACCTCTGAAAACATTCTGGTTTAAACCCCTGCTCAAAGAAAGCCCAACTTAGGCCAGGTTGCTCAGGACCCTGTCCAGTTGAATTCTGAGCATCTTCAGCAGTGGAGGTTGCCCACAAGCGCTCTGGGCAACCTGGTCCAACCTGTGAAAACTGTCTCCCAATATCTAGTTTAAATTTAATTTGTCACAACTTGTATCCGTTGTCTCTCATTCTGTCAGTATACATCTGCAAGAAGAGTTTGGTTCGCTCGTTTCTAGGCATTTATATGAGATAATTTATAACAGTGATAAGATTTCCCCTTCACACGCTCTTAAGACTGAAGAGCCCCAGGTCTTCTGTATATTATATGGTCTGAATATCTTGCTGGACCTTGACTGAACCTGCTCCAGTGTGTCAGTCACCTTGCTGCGTTGGAGAACCCAGCTATATCCAGATGTGGTCAAACAAGTGCTGTAACAGAAGGGAAGAATCACTTCCCTTTACCTCTTGCTAGTGTAAAAGTCAGACAGTGATACTAGGCTGCTTTGCAACAAGGCACACTGCTGACTCATGGTCATCCACTGGAGCCCCAGGTATTCCTTCTTCTGCAGGTCTGCTGCCTTGGCGTTTGGCCCCAGTGTGTCCCGTTACACGGTGTTACTCCATCTTCAGCTATATGACTTTGTGTTTGCCTTTGTTGGTCTTTTTGTCAGAAGTCAGCCCATTTTTCCAGCCTGTTGAGTTTCCTTTAACCAACAGACATACAAATCACCTGCACTGAGAATTTTGGGTCCCTCTCAAATTTCCACTGTGGCCCTCTGTCCCATTTAAAGCCCAGATGCTTTAAATGGTATCAGATACTCTATCCCAGCTCCTGAGGAATGCTGCTAGAAACCGAGCTCCAGCTGGACCTCGTACTGCTGATCACAACCCTCTGAGCCTCATGGTGCAGGCAAGTTTCCACTCACGTTACCATCCATCTGACCAAAGCATGTTGCAGCATTTTAACGATAATGCTGTGAACACCACAGAAACCATGTCAAAGGCCTTGCTAAGGTTAAGGTAAACAACGTTCACTGCATTTGCCTAAGCTGGTCATCTCCTTATGGAAGGAGATCGGGTTACTCAGGTGTGATTCTCCATTCGTAAATCTACAATGGCTGTTGCCAGCCACCATCTTCTCCTTGCCCCAGGTACAGCTTCCAGCAGGATTTACACTAGAACTGCCCTGGGGACTGCGGTCAGGCTGGTTGGTGTGCAGCTCAGAGCTCTTTTTTCCAGGAATTCAGTGGTTCATCTCTATGTCTAAAAGTCGATCAGAAGGATGGACAAATAAAAATAAAGTGATGCCTCACCTGCACACACAGCACCTTTAAATGTGTTATGCAGTTATTTTCATAACTATCTGTGGCTGAGGCCAAGAGTTGAAGCCTAACTGCAAGTTCAAAGATCTCAAAAGCCAAAAATAAGTCATATTTCAAATAGTATCCCAAATCAGAATTTGTTTCACTTTGAGGCATTATTTATGTGACCTGCCTTAGTTCTCAGTTTCGGTCTGCTTATTTTGTAAGATGTGCTTCTCCCAGGTAACTAGGGGTTGGAAGGGACCTCTGTGGGTCATCTAGTCCAACCCCCCTGCCGAAGCAGGGTCACCTACAGTAGGCTGCACAGGATCTTGTCCAGGTGGGTCTTGAATATCTCCGGAGAAGGAGACTCCACAACCTCCCTGGGCAGCCTGTTCCAGTGCTCCGTCACCCTCAGAGGGAAGAAGTTCCTCCTCATGTTCAGACGGAACTTCCTGTGCCTCAGTTTGTGCCCATTGCCCCTTGTCCTGTCACTGGGCACCACTGAAAAGAGCTTGGCCCCATCCTCCTGACACCCACCCTTCAGATATTTGTAGGCATTTATAAGGTCCCCTCGCAGCCTTCTCTTCTTCAGGCTGAACAAGCCCAGTTCCCTCAACCTCTCCTCGTAGTGGAGATGCTCCAGTCCCCTCACCCTCCTTGTAGCCCTCCGCTGGACGCTCTCCAGTAGCTCTTCATCTTTCTTGAACTGGGGAGCCCAGAACTGGACACAGTACTCCAGATGAGGCCTCACCAGGGCAGTGTAGAGGGGAAGGAGAACCTCCCTCGTCCTGCTGACCACACTCTTCTTGATGCACCCCAGGATCCCATTGGCTTTCTTGGCAGCCAGGGCACACTGCTGGCTCATGGTTAACCTGTCGTCCACCAGGACACCCAGGTCCCTCTCCGCAGAGCTGCTCTCCAGCAGGTCCACCCCAAGCCTGTACTGGTGCATGAGGTTGTTCCTCCCCAGGTGCAGGACCCTGCACTTGCCCTTGTTGAACCTCATCAGGTTCCTCTCTGCCCACCTCCCCAGCCTATCCAGGTCACGCTGAATGGCAGCACAGCCTTCCGGTGTATCTACCACACCTCCCAGTTTGGTGTCGTCA